GAAAGTGCGTGACAGATGCACACACAGACACACGGACACACAGACAACCCCTCGTCAATATGCGTTCTTGCATTGCATAGCTGCAAAAAACGCATGAGAAATCAATTGTCGTAACGCATGGTCTAACCCATTTTGCAAACTACAGACCAAATCCCAACTAGTCTAATGGGATTTCACAGTTCCGACGCAGTTCAAATCAGATCCGCCAAAGATCTCAAGGTATAGGAAATCTGCAAGTATTCCTGAGGTATTTAAGTGTTAACTGTTCAAACGAAGAAAATAATCCTCTTCGCATCTTACCCCATACGACAGAATGAAGCACTGAAGGTAGGATGAATATGCAGTGCAAAAACGCAAACAATTAGAGCGAAGCTATAGAAGAGGCACGAAAGGAACCGTTCACCTAACATTTCGCGCCAACCCGTGTGCACATGTGATATACAGTAAGCATTCTTAATATACTACAGCGAATAGCAGTGAATCAATGAACCTGGAGTCGTTGAGCAGTTGCCCGATCCTGGCGATATCGCTGCAGCTCTCCTCCATCGACCGACAACTGAAACGCACGCTCTTTGAGAGATAAAAATCACAAAATTATGGTTAAGCAGCAACGAAATGTAGAAGGCGAGGAGTTTTCTAAAAGTCTGAGGACAGGACTGATTGTTTCGCCACAAGCAGCAATTCTCGGCACCGGCATCAGAATCTAAGAAAATGTGACAAATCTGCTATAGGAAATGTGGCAGTTTGCTTTTTATTATAACTATGAATGCCTAAAACCGGTGCCCAACGGTACCCACGCGGCCAAATCATTGTTCTATGTTTTCTAAACTTCCACATCCCTTTTACCTGATTTGTATAACCCAGTTACTTCTAGACGTACAGTTCTGATCGAACTGGATATTTACACTCGATATCTTGCACTGCATTGAAAAGAACCCAGTGAAGAAAGAAACAGCCCCATCCTGTCCCATTTTTCTGCATACCTGTTATTTCTGCCTCCAAAACAAAGGCATGCGGATGCGAAAACGTGTCACTGACGAAAGCAAAAACCGGCTACGGCCGAGTAAGCAGTGTAGCGCGGAAAATCAGCATAAAAGCGGGACCACAGCGGATGCATTAGCTGCTAAAGTACCGACATGTGGAGGTTCAAATGCTACTCAGACAGAAACAGAAGACGTACGGAACAAATTTATCAGCACCTAAATGGGCGCAAAAAATTGCTGAACAGTGACAGATCAATGGATGAGAAAAGAAGGATGCTCTCGACACTTAAAATGCAACACAAAACCTGAAAATTCTCAAGAAAAGAATGAATAATCTGTGCAACACTGCACATCAAATGCAGTAATCTGCATGCCGTTACAAATCAAAGGTACGTGGGTTGGTTCGTACCTAAAGTAAGTGTAATAAAGAATCCGAGAAACCAGACTGCACCACTATTTTTAGGTCACAGAAGAAGACCTTTCCCTCAAGAAATTTCTCAGAGCATCCTCAATTAAACCGGAGCAAACAGTTTTCAAAAAAAACACATTAATTATAGCAAACTCTCATCGCACATGCAAAAACTCTGTGAAAAAATGAACGAATGTTGATCATCGGATCTCTCGACGAGGCCCAGGCGGCATCACGAAAGGAGGTCGCATCATCATCGGCGGAGCCATCGGGGCACCCATCGGCGGATATGGAAATGGCATCGGAGCTCGAAGTGGCGGCGCACCAACTGGCCCCATTATCGGCGGTCTCGGTCCACCCTGCAAACGTACAAACACTGTTGTACATAAACTAACTGCTAAATAAAGATGCCACTGTGGACTGCCATAGTGGAGAAATCTATCCCCGCAAGATTTAGAGAGGCTTAGTAGCAGGAGTTCTGCGAAACAAAAAAATAAATAAAGGATCCGGCATAAGCACTGGAGAATTTCGGATTTTCTTCTCTATGGGTCGCGTGGAGCACTTAATAAAAACCTATTGCAGAATCTATTAAGTGATTAATCATCAAGGATCAACTCAGTTAACAAATTCTGCAATAACGTTATTTTCAGAATTCGTAACGGAAAAGCATAAGGGAGAAGACTGCACGCGTTGCAACATGAATTTTGGAAAAGCGTATTGAATCTGGAAGAAAAAACATATGGCTCTCTGAGACAAACGATACAGATGAATGACGTCGCTCATGCAAAACAGTTCTTATACCTATTTTCAGGGATTAACATTAAATTCGGCCATCAAGATGACAAAAACATGCGGCACACAGCAACTATGAGACGGAAACAGACCATAGGCATCCGCGGAGCAGTGCCGGCAAGACGGCCCTGAGTGAAGGCTCGAGCGGTCGCATCCACCAGTTTCTGGGCCTGCTCCTCCATCCACTTCTGATAGAACATCCGCACATTCTCCTGAAGCACAACAACAAACGCTTCTAGCACAGAACCATTTTAGCACCAGAAAAGAACAATCCGAACGGACAGCCCTCACGCTCTGCAAAATCAAGCTGCCACTCCTTACCGCGCGCTAACGCTAGGCGCCCTGTCATTGGAAAATCCTGCATCAACAGCTCTCAGCCCATCTCCCGCTAATTAGTGATGATGGCGCACGTAAAAGCTTGAAGATCCCTAAAATGCGCGCCTAAAGACCAATGACGAACATTCAGTACCTCTTTTTTAAAAATAATCAGCCAATGCAAGGGCTGTCCGCCCGAAGATGCGTTTTTTGCATGGTTTCTCGCAGTTTTTGTCGCTACCGGCATCGGTTTTTTTTCGGCAAGTGCTTCTAGCTGAACAAATTAAGACTGGCCGTCAGAACTGGTAAAAAACACCCCCTTAAAATTTCAGCTTTCAAGCTTTCCTGGCTCCTGACTTATCACCTACTTGGACGGGAAACATCACCCTAAGATTTCAGCGTCCTAGCTTTTCAGATCCCCGAGTTATGAACTTACCCGAAAATTTTGGCGGGCCCGTACGCGGGAACCACGCTTACCCAGGGGATGGGTTTGAGTACATTAACACCCAGTTGGACGGGGAACATCCTCCTAAGATTTCATCTTCCTAGCTTTTCTGGTTCGCGAGTTATGAATTTACCCGAGAAAAATTTTGGCGGGCTCGTACGAGGGTACCACGCGGGTGATGGCGCCCATTTTGGGGAGTGGGGCCGGCACGCGCATGTAGATTAAGTTCCCGAAATTCCAGCCCTGCAGCTTTTATAGGTCTTGAGATGAAAGTGCGTGACAGATGCACACACAGACACACGGA